TGTAATTCAAATAAGGTATATGTATTTTAGAGAGCATTATTATATAAGTAATGTAAATGAATGTAAATTAATTAACTCTAATTTTACATTACTATATATAATAATATAGAACTTATTATGAAGAAAAAAATAGAAAACTGTAAAAAATTATCCGAAAAATGCAATAGGAGAACACGTCAATCGGTATATATTAAGAGAGCTATATTATTTATACATAATATAGATATCTGTTTGAAAACTTCCATAAAATGGAAAAAACATAATAATTATTCTATATACGCAATGTTATATAAGTTATTTAATATATCCCTCAATATTTCCTATAATGTCAGGTTGCAAAAATGTGTAAAATTAATAGGTATATATCAGTTATTTATAATACGATTTATTGTTGCAATGGAAAAACAACAACAGAGTGATGAACTTTTCCCCCAAACATACCTAAAATTAAATGAAAGTAGTGCTAATCAAGAAGTATTAAAACTTTTGGATCTAATTAATGTCAAATTAATTCCATTTTGCAGACATATTATACCATGTGAGTATTGTAAAAAATATTATATAGCAACGGTAATTTCAATTGTTACCTTTATTTTCGTGATCTTATTTTTTCAATACATATGTATTAAGTTAAATTGCAATTCGTTTAAAGGGAAAAATATGATATAAATAAAAAATTTTATAGATAATTTTTTTATGAATTTAAAATTGTAAAATAGATATAATGTTGTATATCTGCTATGTTATTCATATTTATATTAATGCTGCATGTCTTCGAAGTCCCGTAAAAAAAAAAAAAGAAGAAGAATTATGTATGAATTCTTATCATGCACGTTATAAATGACCATATGGACATATATATGCCAAGAAAAAGTGTATGTTGAAAACATACAACAAATATATATGTATCTTGGGGACAGAATGCATCGAACTAACTATCGACAACTACTGTTATATGAACATGGGGAAACTCCTAGAAAAAAAAATGTAAAATGTAGCAATCTACAAATAATGGATCTAACATGATAGAATTTAATTATGATGAAAATAGAACAATGCCTAAGAGAGAAAAAAAAAATGACTATCAAACTAAACATAAAAATTCAAACCAATATGTACATAATGTAGGATATATTCCAAAGTAACAAAAGCTAAAATATAAAATATCTTTATAATGTCAATCATGTGTCTCATTATTATCTATTATGAATTTTTTGTTATGTTTAATTCTTTTTATATTTTTTGTAAAAATAGGAAGAACTATAAAACATTTCAAATCATTAATATTTCTCTTCCTTTTAATATTAATAGAGACCTCCCTTATGATACATGTTTCATTAAAGTGATACCTTTATATATTAATAAATTGAATACTTTATGGTTAATATTTTATATAATTTATTTTAAAATTAATTTTGTTTTTTAAATTTATTATTGATATGAAAAAAAAAAATAAAATAAAATACACGTTGTTATTCATAATGATTATATATATAAACCTTATATATTTATAATGTGTTAAACTTATAATTAATTCTTTCTCTAAAAAAATACATAATTTAAAATTTATCTATGTAAACGAAATCTTATTAAAAAATGTTAGCTAATTTGAAATTAAATACATATTTAAATAGAACTCTAATATGTTAAATTAAAAAGGTATTCTTAAATTTTCTGTAATTTCAACATAACCATTAATTATCTTTAAATTTATAATCAATGTTTTATACGTGCATAAAAACACCAGTTCATGCATCCATGATAAAATGTATGTTAAAATAAATTATCGTTGTAATTTTTCTCATTTGATCTTATACTACATAAATACTATAAAACCAATATTTCACGATTTAACATATTTCTCAAATATATTTCGAAAAATGATCTATGTCATTTAGTTATGCTCTACAACAATAGAATAATCTATGTGGTGTTTGTTCAACACAGCTGGGATAAATAACATTTAAACTTTAATTGGTTGTTACTTAATTATTCAATTGTTAATCTATGAAATGCATTTTATTATATGAGCAATAAAAATTAACAAAATTTTTTTTGGAAAAGATTATATTTATCACAACTTTTTCAAGAAAAAAATGTATATGTTCCATGTGTATACTCCAAAAGAGATGTCGTATCTACTTTTCAAGATCATTCAAATTTAACAAAATTCTTCATAGCATTCTTCCCTATTTAAATGGCATTCATTCTATACATTCTTAAAATTTTAAAAAAATTAATAAATAATTTCTCAGTTAAATCTGTAGTAAATGGATTCAACATTATATGAATTTTTTGTTAATAATTGTTATTTATTCGCAAAACTTTTCTCTTTTGTGATATAAAGAATATTTTATTCGCAATAACAATATATTTATGATGAATTCATCTCTAATATATTTCTTTTTAAAATAAATTTTTTCATCTTAATTATTGCATATTTGAAAATAATTTTTATTGTAACGGTTACAATTGTGAATTTGTTAAAGTATAGGATATATTTGGATTAAAATTAATTTA